AAAAAATGGTTTGGTGGCTCTTTTTACCAGAGCTAAGATGCATCAAGCTGTTGATGGTGATGGACCAGTGACTTCTTACTGCTTCCTTGGTCAAACTATTGGACCTCGGTGTTTGGCATCGATCTTGGGGATTGGGTCCAACAGATTGAAACGTGGAATTTCTGTAGCTCCCGACTTGAGAATTGGAAAGCCCAAATCTGGGTCCCGCAGCATGTCATATAGTGTGGACTCCTTTCTCAGTACAATGTGGCAATCTGTGGCAGAAACACTTCCAGACAGGTGCATTTGGGTACAATAACTTGTCTTTTCATGTCTTTTCACCAATTATTTTGTAGGATGTTAAATGTAAATTATATGAAATATATGAACATTTTCTTGATGTTGGGGTATGATCCCTGCAGATTAAATCAAAATAATTTGACGTTGAGATATCACCCCTGTAGGTTCATAAGACGGGGACGAGCTGCAACTGCAGAGGATCCCACCTTTGACCTAGCGTCCGATGTAGAAGATGAGGAACTGGCTTCGTGGCTGGATAAGCCTGGCTCATCCATGGCGTGGCAGTTGCTCCAAGGCAAGGATACAAAGCAAATGTGCAAATTTCTCCCACCAGGAAATGTTCAGGAACTGTACCAACATTATGTGGCCAGCAGACAAATCATGGGTTCCAGCATGGTCTCGTACCCCAGCTAACAAAAAGAATTGTGTTTCTTTTATAGTGTTATGATTATATATGGTAAACCCCCCAACCTTTATCTTAAATTTTACTGTGGCATTATTTTTCCATCTCCGAGGTATTCCACCTTTTTGAGGGTGTACACTGAAAGATGGGCTGATGTGCTGAAATTTCGTGACAAATCCCTGCACCTTGTACCAGTCAGTTTTTCTATGGCTTTTCCACAGCCATGTAAATTGGGAAAGTTCAAGTAAAACTTAGCATGATTATTTTCTTATCATGAATTTGGGGCTACTAGGTTTGCCAGATGCGAAATATGTTGGCAGCTCACCCAGCAAATCAATGACAAGAACCTATCTCTTGAGATTAAGTTGGCGGCCACTAAGACTTACCGGGATCATCTTCATTCCCAATTTGTAGACCGCTCAGTGGCATGGAGCCTACAAGAATTATCACGGGACAACTCCTCTGGTACCCTTTGCATTTGTTTGGATGGAATGGATCAGGGGAAGTTCGCAATACCATCAGATGCGTCCCTTCGGGCCAGCGCAGTCAGGGCAAAACACATCAGGCCTACATTGAAGCTACATGGTGCTTGGTGCTTTGGGTGGGTCTTAGACCTATGGATACTTGATGAACCCACCAAGCACGACGCATCATGTGTGATTGAGATTGTGGCGTTGTGTTTGGAACGTGTTTATGAAAAATCTTTGGAGCTAGGTCAGCCAATGCCTGGCACTCTCCTACTTTTTTCAGACAACACAGTGAGAGAGGCAAAGAATTCAGTCATGATTGGATACCTCAACAACCTTGTTTCCAAGTACAAGATGAGGCTCACAGGATTACTTTGTCTTCGGAAAAGCCACTCCCATGACAGGATAGATCAATTATGGGGTCTTTTAGCAAGAAGGATCAGTTGTTGCGACCAACTCCTATCACCAGACTCTGTGATTGAAATTGTGAAGCATGAATTGAATAGAAAGGGACCGAAATCCTGGATCGGCCTCAACACCGAGATCCGAGTGAACAAGATCAACGCTGTGAGAAGTTGGCGTCAACATTTCACTCCACAGAAGGTATCCTTATCAGGTGGATTACTTGAGGATAGCACAGCAAACCATTGTTTTTTGTGCATTGCCCGCAGAGGCAGGACATCCCCCCAAAAAAAAAAATACAAATATGTTTCACCCAACAAACATATCTAGGGGATCGGTTCTCACCATCACCTTGGGGCTACCCTCCATCCTGTTTGCTCAGATTTGCCGGACCGCCTCGCCGCAAACATCAATGCTGGAGCCAGCACAGCCGCAGCCTGTGGCAATGATGTTATCATGTTGATGAAGCAGTGGATCGGGTCCCACAACCTATCTCAGCAGCCATTGTTGGCCCTTACTGGTGGGCGTTCTAGCATGGTTGATTCGATGGTTCCAACAACCAAGTTCCTGGTCATGAAACCACATTCATGTTTAATTTCAGAATCCAATTTTTATAAGGGAAACCTTGTTGTAATCGAATGTGCAGACCAACTCCTATGCATCCTTTGTTGCTGCGCCAGGTGGGCCAATAACCATTCCAAAGCCTTCAAGGACCAGTGCAATGGGTTGGCCACTGCTGTGGCCGCTACTTACGGAGACAGGTATGCTGAGAGTGTCACCTACTTGCGCAGCCTAGCCCAGAATGACTTTTGGACTGCAGCTGAAATTCCTAGATTACCTTGGCATGAAATGCGCGGAAGAGAACCTGGTGTTGCCGAGCCCCAGTACCAGTTACATCCAGCTGTGTTAGCTGCAATTGCTCCTAGTGCCCCTCTCCGGGCAGCGTTCGGTGGACGCCGAGACATTTAAAAGCTGAGTGAAAATAACAGCTAGGCGGATATCCCTGCCAATCCTTGACATGTCAGCTGTTTGATGTAAATCACGTCGCAATCGAGTTCTGATTGGATTCGCAGGTTTTTTGATTTGCTGCATGCTCTACAAAACCATGTAGTTGATTGGAATATATAGCTATCTGATGCTATTTGTGTTCAATTCAGGGTCAGTTACTATAGTTTGAAGTAGCCATGGAACCTGAGAAATGCTTGGTCTGTTGGGCCTCCAGTGATCCACCTTATGAATGGCATCGAGCCAACGCACCCAACATACCAGGAACCAAGAAAGAGCTACTGGAAATGTTGTCGCTGTATGATCGCACCCCACTCCCAGAAGACCAGTTGAAGAATCTGACCAAAACAGAGTTGAAAACCTTGTTCCGCAAGAACATCAGAGGTGAAAAGCACAGCTGTGACCCTTGCCAGAACCTCTCCAGCAAATCTAAGATGGAGTTACAGGAGATCAATGCTAAACATGGCCTTGAACAACATGGTACAAAGGGGGAGCTCATGCTACGTTTGAGAGACCATTGGTCCCGCCAGTGTGGTTTAGCCACATGTTTGGATGCCAACGACAGTGAGTGTGCTAGCTCGTGGTGTGAAATTCATAGCTCTCACCTAGACCCAGGCATTGAGTGTACCAAAAGCACCAATTCATCACATGTGCAGTAACTGCATTGTTCACCATGCGAGAGGATGGAAGTATGGAAACGATATTATTGGAATATGATTTGGACAATATTGATTCCCTTGATAAAATCAGACATTTGTTTTTCCCCGTGGTGATCAACTGCACTAAATTAGAGCACGATGCAAACCTTGAGCTTTAAGAGGTGAAAAAAAGGAATTCAGAATTTGACTGGGGAAATTCCTTGGCTGGTTCATTATGTTTTCAACCAGGGTGGTCTGCATCCCATCCGCAAATGAGGCCTGGGGCAAGGCTGCAAGAGCTCTGCAGGCGGCCTTGGTGGGAAGCCAGGAAACCATGGTGGAAATTACAAGCGACTGTGACCCACCAAAATCAATGAACTATGGGCCCACTCAATATTATCAGGGAAAAATGTATGCAATTAGCATCAAAAATGTATGGATCAGCATTGAATTAAAAGACTCTGGGTGTGCTGGACCCCAAAAGTAATGGATTCGATTTAGACACAGTAGATCCCAAAATGTATTCACTGTACGTGTGCTGGACCTGAAATCGATATATAACAAGGTTACTGTATCTCAAAATCGATGCACTCTAGGTTTACTGAATCCCAAAACCGATGCACTCTAGGTTTACTGAATCCCAAAATCGATGCATTCTCTGGATCTCAAAATCGATGCACTCTAGGTTTACTGAATCCCAAAATCGATGCACTCTAGGTTTACTGGACTTCAAAATCGATGCATTCTCTGGATCTCAAAATCGATGCACTCTAGGTTTACTGAATCCCAAAATCGATGCACTCTAGGTTTATTGGACTTCAAAATCGATGGACTCTAGGTTTACTGGATCCCAGAATCGATGGACTCTAGGTCAACTTGATCCTAAATTCGATGGACTCTCCGGGGGGGAGTGCATTGAAAATCTAGTCTGAGAGAGTTACTGAGACCATTGATCCTGAATTGTATCGTCAGCATCAAAGTCAATGCACTCTGCGGGGGGGAGTCCATTGAAAACCTATGGTTTTGATGGTTTGGGATTTTGTTTATGTTTATATAACCATCTTAGAATAGATCCCTGGCTCCAAAAACATAGGTTTTCAATGGACTCTCCGGGGGGGAGTGCATTGACTTTGTCTTGGACTTTCAAGATAAGGATCAATGGACTCAGAACCATATCTTCAACTCTTGACCGGTTCCGAAGCACATGTTTGATCAGCCTGGTGTGAGCCCTGAAGCCACCCCGCTCCAGAGGATGAGTTTCTTGGTTTGTTGGGATTCACCCACCATGATCATGAGAATGTCTTTTCCAAATCTAAACCAGCCATGAAACATGTAGCATGAACAATCATTTTCGGATATCTATCTCCAAGGTTAGCTTCCTCATGCTTATCCAAGGTTCCAACGTCTTCATCAAGCAAGCGCAGCAGTTGTCTTGCCCAGTCAAGGTGAAGCCTGAGGTTGTAAAGCCCGAAGACAAGGAATCACCCACGAAGTCCGAGGGGGGTGACAGCAATGGGCGTGATGGAAAGGGTGGGAAGGCCAAGTCAGTATGCACCGTGATGGAGAGGTTCATCAAGAAACAGGAAGGTGACACCAAACTTTTGAGAGAACCTTACCTTAACTTGTTTATTATGTAGTAGCTCTGTGTTTTTGGGGATGTAGGTTCGATTTATGGGGTATCTTTTTGTGAATATAAAATTACAATGATGTTTATTATGTTTCCTTAGTACCCTTAATATAGGATTCAATGCAAGTACCTCTTTATACCCTGTGTTTTCAACAACATTATAAATGATGGGTGGAATCATGTTGTTGCAATCCCAATCCACCAAGGAAATCTTTGATTTTGTGAGCTCATTTTCTGGTGACGACAGTGATCCTTGGAGCCACGGTCATCCAGTCCAGGCTGTCCCACACTTTTTGGCAAACCCCAATGAAGAGTCACGAACAGTTGGTCTCAAACAACTGGAGATGTGGTATGCTGCATACACAGCAAAGCGTGGGTTGACAACCTTCAAGCGGCCAGAAAGTATTGTCTGGGCCTCAAAGCTTTTCAACCAACTTTGTTATGGGAAATCAATAAAGACAAAAAGCTTCCCATATGCACCATGGTCATTCCTGGCTGCCATTAGGTTGTGGACAGCTCCATGGAGAAGGACACCATCAAAATTCCGATTACAGCGCTGAAGCCACTTCACACAACAATTGAATTTAGTTTTTGGATGTTACCTTATCTGAGTCCTAGCTATCATCGCTGAAATCATTTTACTAATATATGCTTGTCATAAATTCTTATGGGTAAATTATATGTGGGCTTCTGGGTTCCATGGTCCATCAAATATCATCTCTCAAACTATTCCGAGGTTTTCTTTGCCCTCCGATGGGCTGCCCTGCCTTCGTGATTGGCAGACATGCTTTGAAAGCATGATGGTAGCTGGAATTGACCTTGGACGAGAGCCGATTTCAGTCAACGCTTCAAGCTGAGAACCAGTTTGGGGGATATGCAAGAGTTAGCTTTTGACCTTTGGACTGAATGTTACTCTTCACACTTAGGTGGAGCTTGGTTCCGAGGGTGCCAAACTCAGCTGGTATCAAGATACTAACCTGATGAGATTCATATCAACCCAAGGGCATGATAGTAAGCCAATGTAATTCATACAAACCCGATGCGAGGCTCGTGCAATTTGACTTCCTACTCGGTTGACATTGTGAAAGGCTTCACAAAGGCCTCTGTCGTAGTCTTTGTTCTCATGGCAGCAAGTGAAGTGGACATTGAGACCGAGTTTGAGTTACTACGTCCATTGCAAGAGTTCTTAGACCATGCTTGGTTGATCCCAGTTTCGGTTCTGCTGAACAAATCTGAATCGGAGAGGGCATTTACCAACTTGATGCTTTCCAACAGAGGTGCTGAAAGGCAGGCACCATCAATCCTGTCACTGGGGCTTCAATTTTCTCATTTGATGTTGATCAAATCGGTCGATGGCACACATGACAGTAAGATGAATACTGAAGGCCGCCTACGATCTATCATTTCAGAGTTCAACTCCTCCAAGGGCATGTTGGGAAAGTGGGGCGTGTGTGAAGAGAAAACAAAGGCCATACTCAATTTGATCGTTGGAACCTCTTCTCAAAGCCGTGAGTTGATCTCCCGGCATCTCCATTTTCACAAGTGGGCATATTGTTGTTTCACATCAGAGTTGCTGCGAAGCAGCAGATGGCTCATTGGTGCCACACCAGCTTCCCAACAGAATTCTTACCTGAAGAACATTCTGAAAGTGACGCCCGAGATCCAAGAACGGTTCCTTCGCAATGTCATCACTGCATTTCACAAGGGAACCCGAAAGATCAAGTTGACATCTCGTGGGAAGGTTCGTTTGGGCCCTTCAGAGTGGGACCGTCTTGTGGACTATGTTTGCATCATGACTCAAATCATGAAAGATGCTGATGAGTTTTTGAAGGATGCAGAGGAAAGTCAGCGAGACCATGTACGTGAGACCTTGGAAGAGGCATGCTTGTCCAGGCCCCCACCAACCAGTTACAACACATCAAAGTTGTTGAGTTTGTTAGGCTTCAATCCTTACTAGTCTCATAGGGGTGTGTCCTTGCCTGCCCCAGGGACTACTTCCAGGAAGCGATCTGTAGTGTGGATGTGGCCTTACCAAACTGGTCAGTGAAGCACCTGAGTTGTTGGAATGAACTCGTGGATGTGAAAATGAATGTTGAAGAGGTGGCAGGAATTGGGGATCTCGAAGCTGCAGAGGAAGCAACAGCTGCTGCAGTGTATCAAGAGATTCGCAGCAAAATTGCGTGATCAGGTTGCATTAGGCTTTAGGTGTTCAATGGTTTCCAAAAAATGTTGTTACTTAGTAAGAAACTTTAAGTTAAGAATAAAAACACACTCTTTCTGGACTGCTGAGGCTGGACGAAGTGGCATGGGTCCGGTACAGATCCCAGTTGCAGCAAAAGAAGGCTCGTGAACACATTGTGGCTGTCAGCCATGCGAAGTCCCAAAATGCAGTTGGAAAGGGGAACTTTGTCTGAACTTACTTGTAACTCATTCAGTACTTGATGTGTTTGCTACTTTCAAATAAGTTTGATTGTTTTGATTGAATCGGTGATACCAACTTAGGATCGTTGAGAACTACATGGAGAAATGGTGCAGTGTCCAGCTGGTGCCTGACATTAGCACTGTACCCATGTTGGATTCCTGGTTGCGTGGTGCAGCATCCGAACTCAAGGCCACATACTTGAGTCTGTTTTAGTTTTTACTGCAGGTTAAGGTCAATGTGTGCGTCTATCCCATCATGCCCCCATAGTGGTTTACAATTTCGTGGCCATCAGAAAATAACATGCTCCAATAACAATTATGGTACCATGTAGTGGTTAAAACCACAAAAATTGAGGGTTACTTGAACTACTGCTGAAATTGCCTCCGTGTGGTTTTCTCTTTTGGAAGGTCAAGATGGATGACTTAACGGTCTTGGTTATCACAGATTTCAGCAAGCTTGGCACTTTGAATGTGGCGACCATGAACAAGCATGTGAGATTGATCTCAAAAATTGTGGACCGAAACCAGATCCGTTTCTTAACTGAATTATTCATGTTACTGGTGACCTTCAAATCTTTCTTAAACATTACCCATGACTAATCTCAGCTTTTGAGGTTCTGGCGCTTTGGTCTTCCCCCCGCTGCTTGTTGCCAGTGGATCTGGATCCACCTTGAGATCAGACACGAGGCGCTGAGTGATTGTATATTAAGTTGGCAAAAACCATGAACCACAAAAAGAAGATAAATGCAAGATCCATTATTCTGTTTCTATAGTTTCCCAGGGCTGTGGAGGACAAGCTGGTGGCCAACAAACTTGAGCTGCGAGATCTGGCTTTGACAGTGGACACGACTGCATTGCACCGGAATTCTGACCGACCAGGATGCTTTTTTGGATGGATTGCAGTCAGTGATTGTCACCTACCATTGAAAGGTACAGGACACCGTTCCAATCGACATGATGAGCAGCTTCCAGCTACTGAGGTCCACCCCTTTACCAGTAGTGAGTTGTGGCGTTTGCAGGGGTTCCCCGTCAATGCAGCCCCACCCGCTTTGGCTGAGAGTGAATTTTGTGTCCCAAGTGCTAGGGCTCATTTGCAATGCAATGACAGCCGCAAGAACCTTACCGATCTACAAGAAACCTCTCAATGGTTTTCGGGTGAACCAGTGGTGAAGAAGGTGATTCAAACTCTGTTGGGTATCTTGCCTATCATTGATCCTAATGGGTTTCTGTTAATTTCATTACATTGTGGATTCCGGGTTATCATGTACCCACTGCCCAGCATGCATCCTGAGGTACCCAGCAGCTCAAGCGCACAGTGGTTGTGAACACCACGGCCTATTGCGGTGCTGTGGAGCGTGCGTGCTTGGCACTCAATGTTCCAGTCTTGAGCTTGTCTGACAATGGCGTGCACACCAACTTTACCACCATGTCAACCGCCAGTGTTTTGATGGAGGAAAGGGCTGACCAAAAGAAACCCCACAAACTTATTTACGGTGATGGATGTTTCCACATCTTTGTTTTACAATGTTCCAGTTCTTTGGCACAGATTGTTGTTAAGATATAATATACAATAATCTGAAAACATGAAATCTTATTGACAATTCATTCTTTTGATTCACCGTTGTGTTTGACAGGATTGGAAGCATGGCCGTGGCCAAATTGGAAAGGTCACACCAAAGTACAAAGCGGAGCCTGCTGACGAAACTCCAGTGATTGCAGAGCTTCCGTCTTTTGGGGTGTGCAAAATTCAGGATGAATGTCTGGTCATACCTCATGAACTTAGAAGCCAGTATCTCTCCGACCCTTCCCGAAACCATGAGTGGAGAAAATTGTTGAAGGAGTTTGACCACAAGTGGGGAGAATCTGTCCAAACCCCCAACAGATCCACCACTCCTGCTGCTTCCCCAAGTGGATCCACAGCTCCTACACCAGGCTCTGAGCCAGGACCAAGCCCCCGCTGTTTGGACGGGGATTTGAATGGGGCAGCCTTTGATTGGGCAAGTGTGTTTCCAGATTCCCCCACAACCAGAACTGACATGGAAACGAAGTTCCCCACCGGTCGTCACCAGTTCACTATGGATGGCAATCTGGTTGGGGTGATCATTGAAGGGACTGAAACCACTGGCCCACAGCTCTACATCATGGCCACCGGTGATGGATCTGTTGAAACTGACACTCCGGTGTTGACGTTTGGGGCTGGAACATGGCTACTGGATGGTAAGGCTGAAAACTTCATTCAGGACAGGTGTTTCAATGAAAGATCCAAAAACATCAGCATCTGGTTCAAACAAAATTTGTGTTTTGGTACTAGTACCTTTCCAGAAAATACCCACCATCAAATTTCAATCACATTGCCATCGCAGGAGAACCCAACCAAGGGCTACTTGTTCCATCTTGAGTCTGATGCTGACACCGTGGTCTTGGAAGATGCAAGCGGATCAGATGGCAACCCGGCTTCCCTCCGCTCTGTCCTTCAGGATATCGAACGGGGAGGGCTTGTTGACTTTGAGCTGGCAGGCCATGTGGTCCAACGACCTGGTGAAGTATGGCAGTCTGGCACTGACAGGTGTGGAGTGGGAGGTAGGTCTATTATAATTTATAATAGTTTGGTTACTCTCAAACCCCACACCTGGCATGGAAATACATGTCCCTAAAACAATGAATCTACCATACGATTATTCATATCACAACGATTCAGGTTTCAAAATATTTGCACACCAAAAAAATATCATTATTAAATCAAATTCATTGCAATGATTCTTTGTGGCTCGACCCTGTAGGTTTGATGTGAATCCGAAGGAAGGAACGCTCATGCTATGGAAGAACTCGGCAGTTCAACTCAGGAATGTGAAACACCGCAATGTAGGATCCTACTTTGAGGCAAAGCAAATCATGGACTCACCTGCTCTGCTGAAGGTGCCATGGTCTTTCTAGTGTTTCCTGCAATGAGGATTTTTACCAAACCCTTTTGATGATATCCAATGATATCCACTTATACTTTTATATGATGATATCCACCCCTGGGCCATTATATCTGCTACCGGTATTCACTCCAATGATTAGATCCAGCCCCGTTACCAAGGTGTGGCGATTGAGGGTCTACAACAACGAAAAGATCGTGGGTGCAGCGAAACCCTTGTTCTTTGTCAAGGGCCGTCTTGGGCTGACCGCTGGGCAATGCAAACGCATTTTGTAAAATCCTGTAGCCCACAGCTTTGGGTGTTTGAACAGCTATTATTATTATTATTTCAAGATTAACTCATTCATGGTATATACTTATGTAACAGCTTTGATGAACAAAAACCAATGTTACTCTTGTACCTGCATTGTGTCATCAGAGCTGTGAATGGTTGCGGGCAATTTCTTTACCAAATCGCTGATGTTGCAGTTGGTCTCCAAAGAGTATGCAGCTGATTTGTTGACGAACCATCCAACCAATCTCTTTGTTAATGAATGATGAAACCAACAACTAATTGGTTGCTATTATTATGTATTGAATGGGGATCTTTGACTAGGCCTATGCAGTCAGCTGTTGAAAGGATGGAGGATTGCTTTTGGAAAAGTAGTGGGTACCCATGGTACTCCCAGCGCACTGTGGGGTAGCTGCGCCTGCCAAGCACGAAGTTGCCACTGGCCAATCTCCTGGGAGCACCAAGCGGTCTGAAGAGTGAGAAACATGATCTCAATCTCACATTGGTTCTGCATGGTGATGGGGAGTACCAAACATATGTATCATCTTGAAAATGTTGTCGTCTTGAAAAGCTGGTAATCTCACTTTGGCACAATTACATATCGAAGTGAATCTTAGGCTCAAAAACACCGGGCATTTTTGCTGCCATGAGTGGGAGTATTTCACTAGAGGTAACTTGGGTGGAGGATTCCCAGGATGAAGTGGAATTCCAGCCTGAGGAGCCTACTGATGGGTTTCATGTCATTAACCCGTCCCTTCCATTAGTTACTCAAGAGTTCTCATGGACTCCGCGCGTTATGGCGCAAGTGGTGGAGCCTCCTATGGAACCTGAGAGGACCCTGTGGAGTGGTGCATAGTTGGTTGAATGGGGCATTTATGATTACCATGAACCAATACCATCAAACACCCACATCAACCATAGGTTCCTTCCTAGTGCATCAAGTGGCATTATTGGTGATGTAAGCTAACATCCAATAGCCATGACCATGCATCATGCGTCATGCATCATATATCAAACATCAAACATCGTTTTCATCAGCAGCAGCATCATCATCATCATTATTTATCGTTCATCATCTTCATCACCATCTCATCATCATCATCATTATTATCACCATCATCTCGTCAGCGTCATTGTCATCACCATCATTATGATCATCATCATCATCATCATCATCATCATTTATCATCATCATCATCATCATCATCATCATCATCATCACCATCATCATCATCACCATCGATATCGTGATCATCATCCTCACCAATCATGATCATGATCATGATCATGATCATGATCATCATCATCATCATCATGACGATATGTTCCTAGGACCGTGCGATCACCTGCTGTGCCTCCTACACCTACCTTGCGAAGGCTTCGTCCACTCTCACTGTCAAGTGGCATTCCTGCTGCTGCTAAGTCAGTACCTCGACCTGTGGAGCCACCCCAGATTCAAAGGACTGATTCTGAGGAAACTCTTGTACTTCCTGGGAGAGACACTCCGGAGAAGCAGAGGGAGATGGGCGAGGAGGGGACAGGACAGACTGAGACGAATGAGGCAAAGTCTCCAACACCACCTGACACGAAAGCAGACACTGAGAAAGAGGATGTGGACATGCCACAGGCACCAGTCAATCACACAAAGGAAGCCCAGACTTTGGAAGCCAAGGGGGAGACTGAACCCAAACCACCAGTTGTTCCCAAGCCGAAATCCAAAGAGCAACCTGCAGCAAAGCCTGCACCCAAGCCTGCACCCAAGGCAAAAAAGGCCAGTGTTCGTGTGAAACGCACTGATGCAGAAAAGAAAGCTGTCCACAAATTGGCATGTGAACGCTGGCACGCCAAATGGATCAGCAAAGGCATTCCTCGCAATCCTGAGGACACAACAGGCAGCAAGAACAAAGTGATCAAAGGCAAATGTTCCAAGAATGAGAGCAAGTCAGCAAAGACCAAAAAAACAAAGAAACCAGAGAGCAAGAAGCCTGAGATCAGAGACCTTAGGTCAGTCAAAGCCGAGTTCATCCGCGACTTTGTCAAAGAGTTCAAGGGGACCGAGGTTGGACAAGAGAGACGCCGACTCGCAAACCATGCTTGGATGATGTCTGACCTGAGGGCAAAGTACCAGTCTGGAAAGACAGGCACTCAGGTGATTTGAAGCCTGATTCTTTTCGATTGCTGATAGGTTGCAATCTAATCCTATTTAGCTGTGGTTTGACCACAAATCTGGCATTTGGGGACTTGGTGCAATTGTGCGCACAACAGGGTGGGAAAAAAAAGGTGCATTCAACTTATTCCTGCATGGTTACCGGTTACCCAAGACCCATCCATACCTGTGGCCCATTCTGTCCTTTGCCAGGCTGCTCTTGCGGCTGCCACCGGTAGCCGCAGAAGCGGCAGGGAGAGTGCCACACAAGTGGCGTTGGTTTGGTGGGGGGATATGGTATACTAATTGGCACTTATCAATATTACCTCTGATAGCAATAGATAGATGGAATATTATGTTGATTATATGCCTCAGTCATCATGACCAAATGATTTGGAAATGGATCCAAATACCTTGAATCTTACTTATATGTATACATATATTGCGTGTATATATATATATACATTATGTATATATATATATATACATTATGTATATATATAGTTCTGTATATATATATATAGTTCTGTATATATATATATATGTATATATATATAAGTATATATATATACATATGTGGCATCACTGTGGTACGAGTATCGCCACTGTTCCAATTTTAGTCGTTGAGCTCCCCAACGTTGTGATGCGATCCACCCCCGACAGCGGCGGCAGGTTGGGGATCTGAACGATGCTGGCCTCATCGTGAAATGGCCCAGTTGCTTGGGAAGGAATATATCTACAATCATAAGTCATATAAGTGTATATATATATATATGAGAACTAATGTAAATAAAAAATATAATATAATATAATATAATATATTAATAGATAATAGGTATTGTGATGATTGTGATAATGCTGCGAATTCCACCCGAATGGACCTGCAAATCCCTCACCAACGGGAGCAGCTCATCCACGGCCTCAGTTTTCACGAATTGTGGAGGTCAACGGGAGGTGGCAACCTTAGATATCCTACAAAACAAGCATTTCAGCAGGATACTAAAAAGCTAGTTCCATACATAGATAGATAGATAGATAGACAGATAGATAGATAGATAGATAGATCGATGGATGGATAGATAGATAGATAGATAGATTAGATAGATATGCATGTGTATAGTTGTACACATAGTGATCATGTAGAATATATGTGTATATATATATATACACATATTCCTCTACTTGTGGCTAAAACGCAATCGATGAACGTCCGAGTCCATACATCATCACGTTAACCTGGTACCCATGGGTACCCGAAAATCTGCTGGTTGATCTTCCTCCAGGTTCCACTTTGGGGGTTAAATCCACTATGTTCGCCATTTGATAATTGAAAAAGCCAGCAGCCTCAGTTTAACTCAGTTTCCTGCTTTCAGATTCAGCTTCACAGCATCCAGCAGTGTGATGAAATGTTCGGAGGCCTGGGCAAGGGCGCCTGGTGCTTCAACCCCTGTGCAGTGGCTAGATTCCCATTAAAGTCTCAGTGACCCCCGTACCGTTGAATATGGTCATGTCCCAAATCTTGTTGGGTAGTATCAGTAGTATCCAAGTATTTCTGACTCAAATGAAGAATATGAGGTTCGCTAGGGTGATGCCTGACTCCGATACCCAAATCATGCTGCAAATCTTAGTACCTTTATCCACCAACCGCCTCTGGTAGATAAAAAAGGCAAGGGGCCAAACTGTGTGGAAAAACTTGACCAATCTTCACCAAAACGTTCATCATTTGATCCCCAGGAAAAAATCTCTTACGCTGCCTTGAAGCATGCAAGGCTTTCTTTCCCGGTGTCAGCTGCTCCTCCATAAAGGGCCTCAGGTGATGCAGAAAATTGTTCAACTGAGTATCCCTGACTGCTGCTCCCCCACCTGAGGTGGGTTGTCCCAAATATTTCAGGCCGTCCACCTACCAAACTTTAGGAAATCAGTCAAGTGTGATGAATTTTTGGGCCCAGCATGGTCCATATTTGAGGAAAATGACAGATTGACCACCGACAAAGTATCACTATCACCAGAAGGGGTAGACTGGCAGACCCAGGGCCCAGGGGTCTCTGATTGAAGGCATGACCACTTGATAGCAAATCTCAAACCTCATTGCTTTGGCCATCAAATTCATGTTATTTGTAGATCTTTAGCATTCAAATCACCGTAATCTCTGGCAGATTTCATGGGGAAAAACTGGCGCCCCAGCGACCTTTCAACCTTTCAACCGAGCAGCAGTGGCCGCAACACCTGCACCCAGCAGTCGCTCTTCTGCCAGGGGACAATGGAGCCTTGGAGCGCCAAATGTTGGAGCAGCCATTGAGTGACCGTTGATAAAACAATGAAATAAACCACCATTGATAATGATTTACCCACATAAAATGTTGTTTTTTTTTTATTTTTTATGTGGGTAAATCAATGGTAAAAAAACACCTTGATAAATCAATGATCAATGTTTTTATCAACCATGGTTTTTTTACCATTGATTTACCCACATAAAAACCACCATTGATTTATCATTGATTTACCATTGATTTACCCACATTGACCATGATGATAATAGCAATAATGTGGGTAAAACAATGTTATTTTTACCACCCATGACTGGCAATGGTAACCATACCACCCATAAAAATGGTGATGACTGGGGGGGTGGATTATTATACAGTATTGGGGATATAAATTCTATAATAAAGTAAGATATAATAAAAATATAATATGACTATATTGGGATATAGCTTAGCTTACCAACATTGAAATTTGGGGTGGTCAGAAAAACGGGGTCCAAACGGCCATGTTTTTCAATGGAAAAAAAGATCATGAAAATTTGGGGTACCACCTTGGGGACAAACCCAGTTGCACAACATGAAATTCAGGTCGTGTTCGGAGGAAGTGTCTGTCCAATGTGTGTGTGTGTGTTTTCAAGTATTAAAAATAACAGCTATTCCCAACACAGAGTTCACAGATAATTGATAATACACATGTAATAGATGTACATGATGTACACGATGGACATGATGTACATGATGGACATGATGTACATGATGTACATGATGTACACTGTGGCTGTTTTCCGCTGGTTGATATGGGTCCAAATGGGTCGAAATAGGAACTAAAAAAATTACAGGATGAAACTGATGAAACCCATAACGAACATATCAAAAACCGCCGACACAGCCTGAGGTCCTGAGCCCATGCTCCTGTGCAAAAGAACGAATATCTGGAAACCTGCGACGATTGAGACACCCCACCACCAGTTAAGTGGTGTATTCAAATCCATTTGACGTTCACAACACCAGTTGGACTCTGAAACTGATGTTTTTCAGAATCATTGCAGGATTTAATCAAACGGTTTGACAGAAATTCTGAGTGTATGACTTGTCCTTCAGCCCATTCCTTGGGATGCGAAATTCTGGAAGACTGGGATAATTTTCATCAGCAAAAAGTCGCCAGCCACCCAATGTCTTTGCCTTTTTAGAATAAATACGATCATGATCTAATATGATACGGTATCACTATCATCAATTATCTAGAATAATTAAATGTGTGCAAATGATTTTGCCTTTTCTTCCTTATGTATAGTAGACTACCAAGAAACACACAAAAAAAAAGTTTTTACAGTCTTCCATTGTCTTCTTTGAGCCATATACAGTCTTCCATTCCCAAAACAATCCAAAAAAAAACATCTCGAATCGTTTTTTTCGCCAAAGATCTTCAAGGTCTTGAATTGTGCCAGCAACTGCGTGCAAGCCTTCTCATAGTCCTTCCACGAAGCAGGGGACGGAAGCGGACATGGTCCACATCGCTTTTTCGACCGGCGATCAACATGGCGGGTCACCTTATCTAAGACCAAGGTAAGCATTAAATGTTACACATTTTTTCATCATATAATTAAATGTGTCGACAGAAATATTCAATGTGAGACTAATCGTTCTTGTATATATGGTATGTTTGTTTCGTTGATCACATCAATGTTTATTAACATAATATATATACCCTCAACCCGTGAGGGAGCGCTTTTGACCATAAGATGCTGTTTCGATCATTGCCCAGCAAGCGATGTTCAAAATACGGGTTTTTATTCAAAACGCAATCTTTTGATTTTCACCAAAAAAATGAACATACATAATGCCCATGTGCGCACACCCCAACTCTCACAACCCTTCCACTTTTCCCTCGCACCTGAGCTGTAAGATGATCTAAGCCGGTTCTGCATGGATCCAGCCAAAGCATTTTCTCAATCTTTTGGGGTCTGAGATCCTGAAATCAAATTGAATCAAAATGGAGGTCAGAACAATAGAACTTTTAGGATTGACATAAGGTTTTTCACATCAAACTTGAACCCTTTTCATCCCATGTATGCATCCATGCCACGCTGGTCTTTGCCAGAGTCTAGCAAACAAAATCTTATTTTGATCATGCTCCGCCAAATTACAGATCTGTGTGCCTGTCGGATATTTGTAGACCTGGATAACTTGGATGGTTTTCCAATGAAGTCCTCTTGCTGCTGGCAAGATGTAGCCAAAGGAGACAATTGCCATTCACAGGTTTCAGCCTTTTTTCGTATCTCTAGGGCATCATGGCACACCATGTGATTTTTCGGGTACATAGGGAACCGCGATTTACCCCTCCTGACCGATAGATCAGCCAGCACTGAATAGTGTCCCAAAAAGCTAAAGATCCAATCCGATAACTTTCGGGCATCAGTGTCTCGAATCCAAAGTCCGTTCCGATAGAGGAAGGTCAGCGTAATGTTGATCGCCTTCGTTGCAGCAACCTGGGCTGTTTGGAAGGGTCATCTTATGAAAACCAAAAACCTTTCTTTTTGGGGAGCACCAAACACAATAAAATGCAATGTGTGCCAAACATGAAAATGATTAAACAAAACTAATGTAATCTAGGGGCAATCGACTTCATCATAGGGTCCAAAGACTGTAAGAGAAAGTTTTCAGCAAACCATCCAATGAACAACATGATTTCAGTTGATGCCATTCCTTTGTTCCACTTGGCAGCCGGGCACACCGATGCCATTGGCCAGCAAACCAAGTCTCGAGACAACTCCGAAATCCATGGTTTTCTATTCTTTTGGGCAAAAAAATGTTTGTACATGTCAGACAACCGTTCAATTTTTTTCTCAACCGATCCAAGTCCTTCAAGGCAAGGTAATGGTGGGTCCGCTTCAATCAAACTGACAATCGCTGAAGATGAAAAGCTCTTCATAATGCCAAGGTGAACATTGTGGAAAAAATCTGATTTGAAGAAATCAATCGCCCTGGCGTCATCCAGCCCCAAACCTTCTAGGATTGATGGTTTTTCCTCCCATGGCAGCTCCAGGAAGATTGTTGGTGCCCACACAGGCGTTTGGGAAACATCCTCAAAAGGTAAGGCAGCCCGATGGTTCTTATCATCTCGTTCTTGTCCTGCTAAACATTTGTAGCAGACTCCCCTTCCAGGTTTCTTTGCCCTGGCTGCTCTCGGAGCATGCCCAAATGTACGTGTAAATTTCCCCAGTTTAGCCAATGCAGGTAGGTCTCCTTTGGAAGATAGGTGTACAAACCAAAATCGTTGAGCACCATGTGTGATCTCATCATGTAAGAGCGACTGTGCATCAGCTGCAAACTCAGAGAGCAACTTGGATAATGCATCCGGTGTTGCAACACATTTCTGCATAGTAGCTATCAACAGGTGAGTCGACCACGTGTTTCCAATGAAATTTAGGCCTTGAGCATTTTCATGAACTGGTAGCCGATGTTTGTTTGATCGAAGATACTCAGCAGTACCCCGACCAATCACCCCGTGCACGTTTAAGACCCAAAGTGGAGCATCCCTGAATGTCCTTCCCTCGTCACTATGGGAAAAGTAGGGGATCAGGCTGTCCAGAACAACTCTACCTTCCTGTTCCAATTGGAAGACTGCATGTTGACTATCCATCACACGATATCTGTTCCAAAATTCTTGAAGTACCATCCGCATAGTTGAAACTGATGGCACGCCAACCAGCTGCCGCCACAAGAGGCCAACACTCAGTAAGTACTGCAACCAACTGGATAGCTTCACCCATGGGAATCTTTTCAATTCCTTGGAATCCCCCAAATCAACGTATGATAGAGGAACTGGAGTTGTCAAACCATATTTGCACAAGACCCTCCGAGCACCCACTTCAGCATCAGATTCTCGTATGTTGGAAAACTCCCTCATAGCATCAGTAGCCCTTGGATTCGCTTCCACCTCATCCCTTGCAATCTGAACGATGTGCTTGCAAGAGGCCTCAGCGGATGCAGTGCGGGCACATGGTAAACCCAAAAGGGGTCAAAAATTGGGCAGAAAGGAAATCCCAACTCAGGGCATGTTTTGGACTGATCTTCTCAAGATTTTTCAGATCGCATTTGTTTCCTAAGCGTTCCAAACTTGTAAGAAAAACTAGCATGCAATGTCTCAAACAAAAAGCTCAAAAACATTGTGCGCACGTGTTTTCACCCAACCCTCCTGTTCTGATCTGCGCGTCCCCCAGTGACATACATAAAATAGGGTGGGGGTGCTTTGTCCTTTTTGTTCAAGGCACCCTCACCACCTGACCCCTCTTTGTTCCGGCACCCCACATGCTTGCAATATTCGCTGACAAGCGCAGCTTCAAGCATGTGAATTAGATCTATGCTGTGTGAAACTGCGATGATCCACATGCAAGTGAATCCTAGTTTTTGGTAGTCGATGTACCGTTGGATCGGATTTGATGTCACTCCAAGTTTAAACACGCAAAGTCTAATGCCGATATCTTCACGGAAACTGGTGACCCGATCCTTGCAGCGAGATAAGATTCGCCCGCATGTTTGCTGGCATGAACCTGGCTCCTTAGGACAACGATTGAATAGGCCATGTGACCGGGTGAGACTCCAGTCAAAGGTTTCAGCATCAAAGCTGTCAGCAAGTTTCTTCAGTGTGCAGGTGGTCTCCTTAGAAGGCCAAAGGTTTCCAGATGTTTCCAGTGCATGTTGAAAACAACAAACCACAAGATCTCTTGGTTCAATTATCTCATCAAACATAACATGATTTACATGTCACTGAATCGAACATCATGAAGCGTTGCTGAGTGGCAGCTGTGATGGCCGGGGATGGTGGCTGCTGGGAAGGACCGAGTCTATCAAAATAGTCTTGGTAAATCAGAACTTCTTCTTGATCTGCAGGTTCAATTTTCAGCTTCCTAAGTTTATCAAATAAGATTGTCAAATACGATGAGTGCTGACTAAAGGCACATAGAAATAGAATCTAAACATGTAGCATCGAGAAATATAGGTTTTGTTTGCTGCCAAGGCACTTCATGGACAGCTCCCCATTATCCAAGCCAGCCACCCGCTTCTTCCCACTGAAGGGACATACATAGGTCAGGAGATCAATGAGATCATCGGCACTTTCATCCATGGCTCACTCCGATCCATGGAACATGTTTGAATTGTCTTTAATGCCATGAGTTATCATGATATGTTATGAAGATTCAGATATGCTCCCATGAAAATTATCATGATTTCTTCCATTAACATGATCACATGTTTAACTTGATGTTTTGTCATATGATATGATACCATCATAAAGGCATAAAACAACATAAATACTTATATATGGTAGCAGGGCATGTTTTGGAGTGATCTTTAAACAACGAGCCATTACTTTATAATAATGGCACTGTTATCGAAGAACTATCATATGATTCCGCTGTCTTATCATCATATCTTATATTGGAATATTCTTCATGACAAAGTACCAGTACCATGTGTCACCATAATCTTCCATTATATGAGGGATGATGCTAACACATGGAAAATAAGATCGAAGAAAATGAATCCATTCCGATTGGTTACTAGCTTCTCATTGAAACTGAAATCCAAGTGGGTTGTACAATTCCCCGGCTACCATTGGATGTGGATATGCAACTCATTCAGAAACATCCCGGGCCAAAACTGTTGCGGTTGAAACATGGGTCCAAGAGCCACACCCACCAGTCCACCCAGCTTGCAGGAGGATCCCAGAGACAAGGCCCTGGCTCCATCAGCTATGAGCTTTGCGTATCCAGCCAGCACTTTGTCCACGTCGTTGGGACCTGGCATGCAGGGCAATAGCAGAAAGCAATGATGTCGGGGTGATAGTGGGTGTAGTGGTGGATCATGATGGACCATCAAGGGGGATGATGGGTGAGGCATGCAACCATCCCCAAAAAGTATGCAAGGGTTCGGCATTTTTTTTCTTACACTTCTGCTTCATGTCGTTTGTTTGCTTTCCCGGGATTTTCACATGCAGGTCCTTTCAGGCATGTGTTCCAAAAGTGGCTGGCCATGCCATCTATGCAGTTTGCCATCTAGCTAGGGTATGATATGTCATATGTGGATATGACAACTGACTATCTTGAAAAATCTAAAATCCTGAAAAGTACATCAGGGTCTAAAGTTTTCACCTCAACTAGCCAGCAACTGCAGGCCATCCCATTCTAAATCACTAAGCCACGTGTTCTGCACATGGCAACCCTTGGTCCCAAAAAGTAGCACTGTCGATTGTTGACTATGCTCATTTGGTTGATGCCTTTGCCAAGACTCAACCGATATCAGCCCTCAGACTTGTTCTTGAGCATCTTCAAGACATTCCTTGGCGACGCAATGCGGTGCCAAGGAATAGTGATACTCAATGGGGTTCCCAAAACAACGCTTGAAACATTGCAACTTTCAATGGGATGATGCATGTCAACCTATGATATTGAGATGAATGTCATGGACCTTTTTTAATATTGTCCCATGAATCTGAATCAGTAACTGCGATGCCCAAATCGAACTAATTCATCCAAAAGTCTTCGCTCCAACTTCGGAAGTGACCACCTTTGAGCACCTGAAGCGGTGTGCCAACATGTTGGCCCTTAGGCATCGGGCATCGGCTGCAAAAGTTGAGCCAAGGCACGCTTTGGTGGTGTCGCGGATCTGATCTGTCATCTTCTTCTGCAGCCTCAAAGGGGAATGGATGGTTTGGTTCATGGTGGTAGGTATTTTCAGAGAATGAAATCCATTACTTTGAATACTGAGAAAACATCAAGGAATTACATCAAAATGAATGGTGATCTGGTAGGTGAGTGGTCCTTTCTTTCTGAACTAGATTAAGACTAAGAATCAGAGGCAAGTAACAACTTCCTCTCAGAATCAGGAATCCTCTCGAAGCACAGCTGCATCCAACTTGATGAGCTCACAGGTGGAGAACTGCGTGTTCAGAATTTCGATGCTGTCCTCCAAAGCTTGCACCGACCTGAGCAAGCAGGGGGTGGGTGAAGTGGTTTTGGGCGATCATTGCACATCAAACCAAATGTTGAAATGTTTTTTTTGGCATATATATAATATTAGCTTGTGAATGTCTGGGTATGGGGCTTGCCAACACGCTTAGCTTCAACAGTCTCCTTGTCCTTGTCACCAAGTTCCGATTCCAGTTGGCTAACCAAATCTGAAAGCTTAGACGACCGGGTAAGCAGGGATGATGTGAAGCTCGCAAACTTCAGGTAGTCCTGGAGCAGGGGAGCTATTGTTTGGACCATATCAAATGAAAGGGTGTCCTTTATTATTATCAATCCATTCCAAAACCAAGTGAAGTGCTCGGACACCAGAGGGCATGGTACTTAGTGATATGGCATGATGATGTACATCTGGTTGACATACGTATGTTTTGAAATATCATACAAGGATGGTTTGTCATATGATGGGCTGATTTGATGTTGCAGTCAATTGATGAAGTATGGTCATGAAAGGATCTTGTCATTTTACACTTGCTTAGTCTGATATCATTGTCGGTTTGTATGGCAGTTACTGGTGTTTCCCTGAATGGTATAATATGCAACGGTTCGATATGATATGGATTGGAATGGCATGTTGAGATGTTATATATGCAAACCAGACCCTGCACTATCCCCCAATCCTTCTCTGCAACATTGATCTGTTCAGCTTCTTTCTCCTTTTCATCATCTTCTTCGGACTCACTGTCCCCACATTCCTGACCCAGGACCTTGAAGGTGACCTCTTCAGTCGCCTCAGGTGGAGATGCTGAGAACCAACAAGACTTTGGACATTGGGATGGAGACCAGCGATGCATCAGGCCAGGAAACCTCCCCAGACTCTTGATGTTGGTGCTGTTCCTCATTTTCAGAAATATCATCGTCCTCCTCACCATAGACAACATAGTATTTGCGGAGTTTGCGGTTGTAGCGATCCTTCCTAGGATGTTCTAGAAGAATGGACTGAAACAATGCTTGAACAGTTTTGAAACCAATCAATAAGATATGTGCATGCAACATGCCAAACTTCATAGGAACATCAGGTATGAAGGTATGATGAGATTGGAATGGGATGCAGTCTAAAACCACTGGAAACTGTCACAGCCATGGGCCAAGTTATTTAATGCAGAAAGGATCTTCCAAAGCCTTTCATTGCCAGGCTTTTCGCAAACCTCCACAGCGCACTTGATGTACGACCTGATAGCTGACTGGTTGCACGCAGGATCAAAGAGCTCAGGAGGACATATACATCAAGGCGAGTAGGGTTGGGAGACACTCGAACCATTTTGTTACATCTCAAATTTTGACATCAAAACTGAAAACAACCGAGAAATCGACGTGCTCCATCCCAAAGTGGTTTGCATCTGTTCCTTTGTGAACCATCCTCGTTTCTGTTTCCGCTGCAACGTTTTCTTCTGGGTGATCGTTTTCGTGATGCGACTCACGAAGAGGTCCTTCTAAATAAGAAGCAAACAAGTTTAAAAAAAATCACAATGCAAGTCATATGATATGCATCTTTGCATTCTGACACATGTGATGTGAAAGTTTGAGATTGACATGAGTGAGGTGTTCGTTCATAACCAGTCCTTGCTCCAGTTGACTTTTTCCAGCTCATCGATCATTGCCTCTTTTTCAGCTCTCGTTGATTTGGCCCATTTTTCATGAATGGCCTTTGGGACATGGCAACGACCTGACGGCTTCAACTCGCACAATCGCCTGAGGCGGTTCAGCTTCGCCCCCTCAGTTTGAGGCGCGGGGCGGTCGGCTGGTGGTTGGACATCCTTGGGATCACCCTTTTCCTTCTTCTCTTTCTCCTTTTTTCTGGGCACTGGTGTGCCAGCAGGAGAAGGGGCAGGGATCTTTGGGGCAGGAGTGGACGTGGAGCTACTAGACTGACTTTTTTCACTACGAAGCTTCTGCATCTCTTTCATCATCGCTTTGTTGGCCTCCCAAAGGCTGAAAGACCCCAAGGGCACCAGGATTGAAAATACAAAGTTGAAGGTAAACACGTATATGATTTTCATATCAATATATATGATATTTCAGTATGACATCGACTGAACAGTTTACATTATAATGAATCAAGGCATGATCCTGACCTCCTGCAACTCCTGGATGAGCTGCTGTTGGTCCACTTCGGGGGGTGCTTGTTTACCCTTCACTCGCTTTGTTGGAGCTGGGTTGGGAGACGGTTCACCAGGTGAAGCTGGTGCATCTGGTTTCTGCTGAGGAGGTGGAGCCGGCTTTGTTTTGGCAGCTGCTGCTATCTTTTCAGTACCTCGTTTGGACTTGTTTCCCTTCTTGTTCTCCTGAATTTCCTCTTCAGTGGCCTTCAGTGGACTTTGATGAAAAAATGTCAATCCATCGTTCCGACTATTTACTGAATTGGTCAAACAATGTTGGTCACTTTCATTGGTTTTGGTATGACGTGTGCACTGGGTATAAATATGGCCAAGTTACTGGCTGAGTCTCATCAGTAGGAGAAGCTTGACCAGCTGCAGCGTCCCCTTGAGCCTTAGGGATGCAGAGCGATTGATGCGAAGAGTATGGGAAGGTTTACTCATGAGTATAATTGAAGTATAGCTAGAAATTGCCCTAGAGTATGTGAATCCCTAGCTGGCAAAGGTCTATTCAGGTCTATTCCATTTGAACTTTTGGCTAAGTCAACCAAATGGGTGGAGCATGTGATGGACAGTTTTCCGTTTGGGAACTGGTTTCAAACTGCAAAACACTGGAACATACCAACAGTGGACTTCAACACAAGAAATCACAGTGGTTCAAACAGGCATGGTCTGGTCATGTCTGGTGAAAGGGGGTCCAAGATGCCAAGAAACAATTTTTGCAGCGACTGTTTTCATTCGAGCAAGCTGCCTCTCATACTCCTCACCGGTTGGGGGTGGTGGGCTAAGATACATGGATGGGCTTAACAACACCATTGAACCAGATTGAACATCACATCGATCTTTTTTGAAGAACCTAATGAGGAATCTGTTTGAAGTTCATGATGTTTATTTGTGTAAACTGGTGCACGCTATTATGGATCTCTCCTTGATCTTCATGTCCAGATCTTCCTCCGGTTCTTGTTTGATAGACGTCAACTTGCTATGGCCATCCTTAAGTTCACTACAAGACCATTGCTTTGATGGTGCTGGCCGCCCTTTTGGGGCCATGACCCACTGAACCCAGCTGCTGCCAGGCCCAAAACAAGGTGCTGACGAGCCGAGATCCCTAGAATCGCGGCGAATGGGTGGAAGATGACACCTTTAAAAAATGTGTGGAGCCACATTCATGCCCACCAAACTTATGTATGGGAAGTCAAAACTACTTGATTTTCATGTTGATGCTGTGAAAACCCTCCAAAATGTATGGTTTTCACCTTGTTTACAGCTAACATTCTTCTTGCTTTGCCATGTTTCACCCATAAAAACAATTATCTACACCTCCACATTGGGAATTCAACCATTAACATCTACATTGTCAGCCCAAAATGGCAAAAAATCACGATTTTCAATGTAAAATTGGGAAATTCCACCAAAAATGCATTTTTTTCTCCCAAAATCATGGTTTTGGCCAAAGCTGGTCAAAAACCAGCAAAAATGGTTAATTTCCCCAATATCGGGCAGTACGGAAAAAGTACGTATTTCAGTACGCATTTCTACGGGTTTATACGGCCAAAATACGGGCTTTGTACGGGTCCATTTGTGGGTACGTATTTTGTACATACTTTGTCCGTATTAAGTACGTATTCCACCCAAAAGTCAAATCCCATCTATAATCGTATGAAATCGTTCAAAATCAACCATAATTTCTTGTATGCCATGTATGTTTCCTGAAATTCTGGCAATTTTGTTTGATACCCATCATGCATTACCAAAAACCCTTTATGATGACCTCCAATCACAAATCTCCGATGATAACTTTCACAAGTTGCCATATTAGGACCTATAGACGCGATATACACCTTACTTTCCCAGGTCTTGACATGGTCTTGTTTGCTGGGTCCCCAATTCCCATACTGTGATAAAATCAACAGAAACATGGCTGGATTGATTTGCGATTTTGCTCCATAGTGATTAACCGCATTAGTTTCAAAAGGATTTGATTTAGCATCACAATGAAAAAGATTCCCCAGAACCATTCCCTTGGCAACTGCTTTTGATTTGGAAAGGATGGCCCAGTACCAGCGGCAATGCGTTGAATGACATTGAATTGTTGAAAACATGGTGGACATCCATCATTCTTTTCAAAGATCATACCATGGTTTCTGCCCCGTGAGGTTTCCAACAAAGAACAAAACCCTACATTCATGTTCAACAGTACTCAAAAGATCACCATGAAGAATCCGGCCCTAGCATTTTCCAAAGCGGGCAGGAGATCTAGGCTTCTTAAATTTGACCTGGGTATTCCCATGTCCATATGCAACATCGAATTGTCAAAACAAATTAAAGTGCCAAGTTGGCTAGACTTAGATATGGGTTGGAAACAATTGCCTCCACTCCCCAAGCTCTAAGTCATGGCTTCCACGGAGATATGTGAACACTCCTTTCATGTTCCCACAATCCCACCAATCCCCCCACTCAAGCTGAGAGAAAAGCTCAAAGCCACTTCGCACAGGCTCTGCAGCAGCTGATGGTGGGAGGGCATCCTTCTTGGTGAGGAAGCGATGCAGTAACTTGACAATCTTCATCCCAAACTTCGGTGGATACGTCCTTAAATGGAAGGGGGCTGGCAAGATATTCATTTCTTTATTTAACCAAAATATACAGCAAGTATTGGGATGCCAACATCAACCATCAAAAGAATCACAGAACATCCAGTAAATATATTAGCACAAGATTGTTTTCACTGGATCGCTAGTAACCAAGTATAAAATCAAGATATGGCATGCCATTAACCAGAACCAGGAGCAAACCACCTAACGGGCTGAACATAAAGACATCAAACCAGCAAAACCCATGATCAACTCCCCTATCATAAATCCATTATTCGATCACATGTATATATACCTGAAACAACCCAATACCACTTCATGTGAGAAAACCACTGCACGGGATTCTTATAGGTACCATAGTCATAACAAGCCTCAGACCAAGTCTTATCTTGAAGTTCTGTGTCAAGGTCATTGGTTTCAACAACATAAATCTTTTAAATTTGGGATGGTGAGTCTTGCACAAATCAGGATGATGGTTTCCAGTTGACAGTCATGCCACTCGTTCATGATCATGAAAACACTATTCAAACATGTTTGAATTTTGATCCAAGAATCTGGGTGCCCTTCAAAAATTTGGTGCCATGGTAAGCCTTCTTACCCTGTTTGTCACGATACAACCGAGCAGATTTTGGAGCATTTCCAAAATGTTTCTTCTGGAAAGCTCTAGCCATGACCCCCCGATCGAAGCAACGGATGCTGGGGCAATTCGACCAACAGATGTGGCGCTTCATCGTCAAAGATCCATAGTGCCCCATCCACCAAAAGGCTTGAAACACCTGAAGGGGCAAACAGTTTCATATGAAATGGTTTCGGGGTGCCAATTGTATTTAATTATCTGGAGAGGCATGGCAATTTTAAGAGCCTTAAAATCATCATGTTATTGTTGACTTGTATTCTATGTCCATGCAGTTTGTTCACCCAATTCCTCAATCCTTGGGGTCAAAGTTGCTTCATGCTATTGCATACAATCCAAAATGATTTGGTATGCACTTTGCTGTACAATTGTTTTACGCACTATATGTAACATTTTTTTGCAAATATTAATTGCTGGTGGAAAACATCTTCTTTTATCTTGTATATATACATAGTATACATGTGGGTTCCCACTCACCCCTTTGATCCATATATTGACCTTGTGTAGCTTTGACCACAGCTCCATGACCCTCGGATGCCAAGGAAGCATTGAGCTCCGCGGCTGCTCTAAAACCCAGGCGCCATTCATGGCACTGATTGCCCATATCAATAAACAAGTCCTGGGCTGGGGGCGACTTAGATTGGTAGATGTGAGTTTGAGGTGTCCAGCTTTGAGAGTGAATGATATGAACCATGAACAATACAGTGAAATGCCGCTATTGAAATCTATAGCATGTGGTATCTACTTGGTCCAAATAGCACTGCACATTTGAGATCCCATGGCATTTCTGGGTGGCAAAACTATCAAATTCGGGCCAATTTCACCACATATCACAAGACATACAGCTACCACTCTATCACTCTTGCATAGTCCCCGGGACTGGGTGTACCCATTATAGTCCATAATGAAAATGTTTGAAACATTTTGAAACGTTTTATCCCGTCCAAGGTTTTTGTTGAGGTGATGCCCCACGTTGATACAAGTCCACTTCATGTTGATACCCAATTCAAAGGGTTTGATTGAAAGTGCCTACAGAACATAGGCTGTGCATAAAGCAAACCAATGCTTGTCAATCTGTTATCTAACAATCAAATTGTATGAGATAAGGGTCCTTGATGCCAATGCATTGCCAATAGCCACCATGGGTATTTCAGAACGGCCTAGAGGATCAAATGGTGCACGTCGATGGGTTCCAGATGATATGCTTACATAGCTGCTGCACATCAATCCTATCAGGCATAGAAACGCTCCCATCTTGCCATTGAAGATGGTGACTAACGCCAGCCTCAATCCCAAGGTTGTTTCGGAACAAAGGTCATTCACACTGATACTGTTGTATCCATTCTGTTTTAAGTTTGACAACCCAATCCCAAGAATGCAAATCTAGGGTGTGCAAATGGATCGGAGAAAAATATTCCCCAAACATGAAGATGATGGGTGGTAACAACATTGTTTGACCAAGTAACGAGAATCCTGCGTCCGACAACAAATCCATTGCATTTTGTTTTTCGGGAAGCAGTTCACCATACATGATGTCGAGGGCAGCAGCACTATACCCATGGTGTTTCACACACCTGGTCACCCAAGCCTCTCCAGCAAAGAGTTCGATGAAGTCGTATTTCTCAGGGGGCCATCGGGGCAGCCAGGAAATGGTGTCAAGGATTTATTTTCCATTTCTTTCCAAAAAGTATTTGTGGAACAAACAGGTATGACAGTAGGACCTGTTGAGACTAAGATTTACAACATGTTTTTAACAGTAAGATGTATGACATCACTTTGTTTTTTTTGACCTTGGGGCCTAGCCTCTTCAAATAAACCAATGGCAGGGTTCAAGCACAAGAGAACTGTGCAGGCCATCAGAACCTTCAGGGCAAGCTGGCTGATCCCACTTCAGGCACGATCAAACAAACATGAACCGGATATGTTAGGTGAAAACATGTTAATGTTTGCGCATAAGCATGCATGCCTGTGCTATCATGATTTTTAACCTATGGCCTTGCCTTGGGGGCACCCAAATGATGCAGCCGGTGCAGAATCAAGTCCATTTTGTCACGTCTGGTTGGATTCATGGCTCGACACCTTCCCTTCACCTAGTTTCGGCTTGAACTTCAAAATGCTTCATTGAAAGCTGAACATTGGTTTCAATCATGGAGTGGGTTGACATCCACCCGCAGCATGCCCACTGGCGTGCCCCAAAAACAATGCAAGGCTAACCGATCTCCTCCAATTGAGGCATGGCCGCATCATCCATGGGGCCTGGCGAGCGGAGACGGTAGACCATGGAAAGGTTGTGCATGACCTTTGGAATTGGAATCTCATGTAGCCCAGTGCATCTGATCAAAATCTATGGAAGCATACCCAACCAATCATTTCATTTTTGGTGGAAGATCGATGTATCATCACAGTATGATAGCATCACTGGGATGAAGAGTTCTTATATATTATTCATCATTATTTATCACTTGAGCAACTGGTCACTAACCTAAAAGAGGCTATCCCTGGGCCCTCTCAAGAACTTGCCTTTAGGGTTTTTGATAGTCATGAACGCTTTCAACTGTGAAGAACCTTGAGAGTGGAATTCAAAATTGCCCAGTAACATGGTTTGAATGGACCCCCCCATGGCACAGCCAGTTGATGTGGGAATGGCTGATTCAGTTCACCAATGGGCCGGCCAGAGGAAGCTTTTTTTTCCCAGCACACCTTCGGACATGCTATCAGCAACAGTTGTGAATGTGTTCCAGCAGGTTTTTGCTTGACATGGACTTGGTACCTACGCATGTAACCCTATCATTGCAACATATCAGGAGGAAAAAAGTGTCAGAAAACATAATGGCAGTATGATTGCTGAAAACTAGTGCATTTCTCCTTTTAGCTTGTCACATGTGCGACCTGCAAACTGTTGCAAGAGCAACCAAATCTAAGTGCCAGGGTCCAGATATCAATCTACCCCTTGTTTGAAAGATTGGGGGCATCATCTTTTAAGATGCCCCTGCCCAAGCTTTGAGATGTCAGCCGTTGATCACTTGAAACACTGAAAAGAAAA